CGAATATCAGAACATTAAAGCAGCTTTTTCTTTGAAAGAGGATAAAAATTGCGCTAAGACTAGCGATAATAAAGAATACATATATATATATATATATATATCTATGTATTATGGCTATTTCAAAATTCATCAGTATTAAAAATCTATAGTGTACGTAACGTTAGAGATTTTCAGCGATAGCATGAGCTGAATTTTGCAACACAACCTATAAACAGAGTGTTCCATTGTAAAACTACTCATTGCTATAACTACTCAACTATCATTTTTAAATACACATAAGGAATAAGAAGAATAAAATATACTTTAAAATAGAAGACGTTTAGCAATTTTATTTACATATAAGATAAAGATGTAAATAAAACTTTATTTAACATTTATTTTGACAAAAATAAAGCTTTTTTAATTTCTAAAATATATATATCATTAAGATTTATAATATTTGGCATTTTTATAAACACTTATTAAATGAAACAAATATTTGATCTTTACATGATCTTAAATAAAATAGCCAAATGTCTTCTATTAAAAAATATTGTTATATAGTGTATAAAAAATTTGTTTTATTCCCTCTATATTTTAAAATGACGTTATGATAAAATGGCGTTTAAAAATGACAGCTGATTAATTTCAACAACTTTCCAGGATCTCTCTGTATATACAACGCTGTATTAAGTATGCGTATAATGCTAATAGTAAAAAAATACGTGCAGTTATACATAACATCCTACACTTTAAAAAAGACGAATTATTTAATTATATTCCAATACTTAAATTTCACAAAATTTGTAATTTGAAATGAAGATTCTACTAAAAAGATTTTCAAGATTATTATATAGGATAAAATTAGTTATGATTAGTTTTGATTTATCTTTTGTTGAATTTTTTCTTTTGTCAAAATATTTTATGAAATTTTTATCATTTCAAAAATATCTCCGTAATGTATCTACATTAGAGTTACAAAAAAATATCACGCATGCATTAAAAGATTAGTTAAATTTTTTTTTGCTGGATATTGTGGACAGTCTTCGAATTTTTATCTTATTTTACATGAAAGAAATCACGCGATAAAAATTCGAAGACTGTCCCTTCACTCTGGTGTCGAGTTGGTTGAGATCAGTCAATCTCTATTTTGAGTTTAGGTGTTCTAGAGTCTAGATACTGTTCCATATCCACTTTATCCTGATGCTGGCGACGTATGTGACGTTGCCAATGTGCTTTGCGTTTACAACGTTGCGGGCAATATGGGCATTTAAATTGTGGCTCCTTGCCACACTCCCAATGCTCGTGGCGTTGCAACGAGTCCTTCCTTCTATATGAACGGCCGCATCTAGCGCAAGCGAATTGGCCGAGCGGCTTATTGACGTAATTCCTAGCATTTGGTATCTTCAGCTCAGCAAACGGCATCGTTTTCTCCTGCGTTTGTATTGGCATATCCATGGATTCCTCCTCTAGGTCGAACATATTCCTGTTCTCCTTCGTCAGACCTGCAAACGGAAGAAAAAAATAGCTTTAGACAGGTTCTATTATCCCACGTGATGCTCTGTGTCGCTGAAATCGAACATGCGACTCGTGTTGTATCTTCGATACGGCCTGAAATATCATTAGCGAAAAATCTGTGGGCACATTCTCTAATTTAATTGTTTGTTGATTAACCGAATTCTGAACCGAAAGCAGATTTTAAATTAGATATAAATAGTACGTTAATTTTGAAAAATTTTTTATAATCCTAAAAAATTATAATTTTGAGATTGTAAGTTTAAAGAAAAAAATTGTTAGAGAGAATATAATAAAACTAAACACAATAAAAGGATAAACGGTGGTCAGGAAATAAAAGTTAAATTATAAATATTGCATTGATTTCAAAAATTCAAGAATATTGATTATAAATTTATCATCAAAGAAAATATTTAAAAAATATATTATTGATATAACAAAATAAATATACAGACAAAATTTATTACATTCTTTTAATTAATGAATAATTATTTTTTCATCACAGCGCATTTTTTAAATAGATAATAAAAATTCGCAAGAAATTTTATACATAATTTTTTTTTAAATAGTTACAATAAAAATATTTTACAATTTTTATTTATCTACTTACATAAATGAAATATAAATTAATATTCATTTTTATATTTTCTGAGGTTTTACGTTTAACAAAAAAAAAAGTTACACATGGACCTTTAGGAATCAGCGCTGTAATAATTGCGCGTTTTTTAAGATTAATCTAAGACAATCCTCGTATAATTAATAAGACAATCCTCGTAATTAATATCGATAATTTATTTATCGGTTCGACAATTATTATTATACGCGCAATTATTACAGCGCTGATTCCTAAAGACCACGTGTAATTTGTTAATTGTTTTAATGTAAGAAATCTTATTTCATTGTAAGTATTGTTTTACATTTAGTTTAAATGCTTAGGAAAATAATAGGGAGACATCGGATTGTAAAATTATCGGATACCAGATATCGAATATGCGAAAAAATTTGACAGTGATATCCGATCAGATATCCGATAAGATAATTATTCAACCGGATATTTTCCCGAACATTCGACAATTTCCCAAAATTAGAAAAAAGCAAGGAAAAAATAGCGATAATAAATGATTGCTGTGGAATAGGGTTGTTTGTAATACAATTTCAACATTGCTTAGTACTATATAATCAAAGTTTAATATTAATAAATTGTTCATGATGAACAATAATATTTCTGCATTTTCGATGATAATCTATTTTAATTATCGGTATAAACTAATTTTCCTGCGCTGAAAAATCTTTCCGAATATACGGAAGACGACGGAGCACTCCAATATTTCAAAACCGAATATTTTCTCAGATTACAATATTCTTTTTCATTATCAACGGATGTTTACTCTTTAAATGGTTCCATAAATTTAGTAGAGAATAATTGACACATTTTCCTTCTTACAATTTTCTTTTTTGATGTAGAATCGCAAAGAGAACATTCAATTCAATCATTTTTTTCGTCATCACAACATATTTTAAAATTTCATACGTTAGATTTTTCTTGTGTTATTGTATTTTATGATCAGTTATAAAATTTAATCAGTTATAAAATTTACAGTATCTTCTCAAGGAAATACACAATCACATCATGTTACAATAGAGTCTTTAACTTTATTCTTATTAATGATAAGCGCGTTATTAACGTTATTGCATCATTCTATTTCCATTCTTACGTCTTGTTTTACGTCTAGTGAATGGTAAAGATAAAATGACAAAATAGTGCTGATGCTGATCGCGCTCCCCGAATGTAGCCTTAGAATTTCTTGCACAATTTATCTTTTTTTTTATCTCTCCATGAAAAGAAAAAGAGGCAACTGTGCAAGAAGTTAAGCTAAGCTTTCTGTATCAATGACGCTAACTTTCGATATAAAATTTCAGCTGTGTATATATATATATATATA